TCTCTAGCTGTTCCTCATGCCTCCTGAGGACTCCCTGGAAGTTTGTTGTAAAATGTTCAGCTATAAGTAAATAGCCAAGTACTTACAAGCTGAGTTTAGGGGGACTGTTTGGAGATGTAGATGCAACTATATGACATATGCGCCTCATTTAGTGTAGGATGCCTTATGTTTATTTTTTGTTAATGATTAGAGTATGACAGGCTAACTAATTCCAAAGTTTGAACCAAGATGTCATAAAGGCATCTTGGGAAGGGGTTGGTCTCCTTTCCATTCAGTTAGCCCTAATGGATGTTCAGTACCAGCCCCAGAAAATTGAATTTTGAAGATCTTCACACGGGGATCTATGTGTGACTCAATAAACTAAAGAAGTGGAAAGGAAAAGAGCACGAGTATAAGGCAAGTGGAACAGGTAAGGAAAGTGGGTTTTGTGTGGTATGAATGAGAAATGGGACTTTAAAAAAATCACACAGCTCTTTTCTACTCTCTCAGGCTCAAGAAAAGGGGAGCAACAAGTGAAATCATGGAAGGCATTTTCCAGCTTCATTCTCTAATGCTTTTAGAGTAGACTTTCAATGTAAACATGACTGACAATTAAATATATATATGTAATAGTGATTCTTTCCATTTGTAACATCAATGTTTTACACTAACTCGTTTCAGTGGGCTTAGCTGTGCGTTGCAGTCAATCAGCTGCAATGCTTAAGTAAAGGGAACAGTCAACTGAAGAAAGAAAGGAAATGTAATGTATAGAGAAAGAGATCCAAACACTCAAAAACGAAAGAGACAGCATCAGTAGAAAACTTAAATTGGGAAGCAATGGAAAAACCCCAGCAAAACATGCTGCGTTACTCTAAGGCTGTATGGGAAATGTGCCCACTCCTTGCAACATAGTATATGAACCTGATGTCTGCCTAATACTATTGCTGATATTTTTAGGACAGCTTGTCTGTGAACTATGGGTTCATCTGCATTGTGGAATTAATGCAGCTTAAGACTTATTTAACTGCAATATCTCAGTGCTATGGAATCTCAGGAACTGAAATTTGTAGTGATTTCAGTTAGGATCACAGATAAAGGGTCTGTGCCCGATGCACTTCTGCTAAACCAGATCAGCCAGAAGAGAGAACAAAGCACTCTGTGACTGAAGGCAAATTGAAAACCCCAGTTTACCCCACATTAAAGACTGGAAGTCCCTAGGTGTCATGCAGAAATTTATTACAGTTTGGCCAAAAGGGATGCAGGTACCAAGTTTCCCCTCAAAAATGTACCAGCATACCTTCACAGAGAAATACATATTTTATATACTTTGACAGCTATTTCAACTTGCCTTCCCCTGATTGGCTGAGAAACATACTAGCTAGAATCCATACTTTGATTGGCTGGTGGTTCTTTTCACGTCACGGGTCAGAGGATGGGTTCCCCCTGGTGAGAAGAAGTACTGCTGAATATTGCAGAGTTTAAAGGTTGAGTCCATTGTGGGGATGCCTCTGTGGAAGGCACGAAACTGAAGAAGATGATGACGTGGGTATGCAGATGGTTCTTTGATTGACTTAATGTCCAGTTCCGAAGAAGACAAAGTTGATAATGCCAGATATCCAGAGGCTTGGGTAACCATTCAAAAGATTGATTTATTTTGCTTGCCTTCCATGGGAATTATAAGTCTCTGGATGCATGTGGCCAGGTAAACAGTGCAAAACACAGCCCTGATAAAAGGATTGCTGGTCTTTCATTCACAAACAAAAGGGATTACATTTCCAGATTTGTGAGATCGCTGAACTGAACCATTTCCAGGGGTTTATGTTAATAGAGAGGGTTGGAGTATCTTCACAATATGTTTGATTTAACCTTACAATATGAATTAATACAGCATACAGTTAATACAACATACACCAAAATATCATTCAGTACATTTATTAAATGGTTTAATTAGATAGTTTTGGGTACAGTTGCTGCTAGGTCCTCCCAAGGCTTTCAGCTGCTTTGGAACAGTGGAAATCATACACACACACACACACACACACACATTTGTGGAGTCTTCTGTTGGTTCAGATTAATTTGGGAAGGGGATACAGTGGCTCAATAACAGTTTTACAAGATATTTAGCCTTCTCTGCCAACAAACTACATTTCTCAGGATTCCCTAGCAATGAGCCATGACAATTAAAGTGGAGCAAAACTGCATTTATTCCACAGTGTAGATGCACCCTAGAAAAGACAATGCATTAGCTTTTCCAACCAGGCCGTTGCTTTTATAGATGAGTAGATGAAGATAAGAGAAAATGTTTTCATTTTCCCTTACCACAGAAAAAGAAGCAGCACAAATGTCCCTTTACATCCTAGCCTGCTAATATTTTATCCTTCAGAGTTTTGGGAACAGTTTTTTCTTTCTTTCACCACAGACCATTAACAATGTCTGTGTTGTCCAAATGTAAACAATAATTTGCCTTTACTTTTTGACGAAATACCTGTTTCTTGTTTGGTACATACTTTATGGTGACGCATTGTTTCCTTCCTGACAAAAAGCCATGCGTGTGGGTGTCTTGCTTACCTCACTAACCTGTTGATCGCCACACAGAAGGTACAAATTGTGTCCTTTCAGCCAGAGAAGGGAAAGTGCCAAACCACGTTGAAATCAGAAGGGAGCTGCCAGAGTTTTCCATAATCTTGGACTACAGCCCAGGAGACCAGTACAAAAATGCAGAAGTAGTTAGTATTCAGTTATCACAGTGGGAGGAAAGGATGGCTGGAGTTTTCTGCTTCCCTATCAGCTCAGGCAAAAGCAATCTGTGGCAGCATCTCCTAACTGGTCTGTTTTCCCTCATTAATGCCTTTTCCTATCTTGCTCTGGTGCTAGGCCATGCATGTTCTGTTTTTCATTTATGAAATGCTGACTTGGCCCAAAAGCAAGACTTTCAATTGCATAGTAACTGCATTGTGATAATGTGCATTTTATTTACTTCATACTCTATACTTTATTGTGGCCTAAAGTGCTATGCATCTACAGCTATGTGAACATGAAATTGTACTTATTTAGTGTCTTCTGCTGTGTTTTCCAGTGTTTTTATGAGTGACGGTCACTCATTGGCCTGATAGGTGTATTGTGTCCAAATTTGGTGTCAATTCGTCCTGTGGTTTTTGAGTTATGTTAATCCCACAAACGAACATTACATTTTTATTTATATAGATTATTTATATAATTCTCTAGGTCTGACTCATGACAAGGGCAAAGAAGGGTCCAACAAACATCTTTGACTGGCCATTGGGAAGATTTTATGGCTACACAATCCAGGCCAGTTGAATCTTAATATGAACAAGGTTAAAATAAGAAAAAAAGATGTATGAAGAAAACTGAAGAGAGATTCGGATTGGCATATATATATATATATATATATATATATATATATATATATATATATATTTCTACATATATGTTTGTAAGCTGCCTTTGGTCCAGTTGCGGAGAAAGGCAGGGTAATAAATAAATAGGTAAAGATAAAGGTTTTCCCCTGACATTAAGTCCAGTCGTGTCCGACTCTGGGGGTTGGTGCTCATCTCCATTTCTAAGCTGAAGAGTCAGCATTGTCTGCAGACACCTCCAAGGTCATGTGGCCAGCATGACTGCATGGAGCGCCGTTATCTTCCCACCGGAGCGATACCTATTGATCTACTCACATTTGCGTGTTTTTGAACTGCTAGGTCGGCAGAAGCTGGGGCTGACCCCGGATTCGAATCTGCGACCTCTCGGTCAACAAGCTCGGCAGTTCAGTGGTTGAATAATAAATAAATAAATAGACACAGGTAGATAGACAGGTAGGTAGGAAGTATTCATTAGAGAGAGATGAACAGTATATCATTTATATATACACATTCTTTAAAACTTAATAGTAGTTCTGGTGGTTACTTAAAAGCTATATAAATTATAATGATGATCTTATCAGAATTCCAACCCCCACCTCTTAAAGTCCATTTAGGGCACTTCCAGACAGTCCCTATATCCCAGGATCTGATCCCAGGTTTTCTGATTATCCCAGAATATTGTTACAGCGTGAATCCTTTTGGATTTTTACCCTTAAAACTGTACATCCCAATGGTCTAAATTACGCCATTTTATACCAGTGTTTTTTGTAAACCAGGGGTCCTCAAAGTAAGGCCCGGGGGCCGGATACGGCCCTCCAAGGTCATTTACCCGGCCCTCGCTCAGGGTCAACCAAAGTCTGAAATGACTTGAAAGTACACAACAACAACAACAACAACAACCCTATCTCATCAGCCAAAAGCAGGCCCACACTTCCCACTGAAGTACTAATAAGTTTGTATTTCTTAAAATTGTTCTTCATTTTAATGATTGTATTGTTTTAAGTTTTTTTGCATTACAAATAAGATATTTGCAGTTTGCATAGGAATTCATGTTTGTTAGTTTTTTCAAATTATAGTCTGGCCCTCCAACAGTTCGAGGGAATGTGACCTGGCCCTCTGTTTAAAAACTGTAAACTATAGTGTATAGCTCTTTAACACTTTCATTACCTGCTCTACCTGGTTTGGGCCCCTTTAATTGCTTCACTTTATATCCCAGAATATCTGGCAGTGGGGACTCATATAATCCAGTTTAAAGCAGAAAACCTGGGTTCAGCTCCTGGGATATAGGGCCAGTCTAGAAGAGCCCTTAGTCACTTGGGGACACTTCTCTCCTATTGGGATCTTACAGTTGTGACATCCAGCATGCTCAGCTGTGAAGAGTGTATCCCTTATTGAGAGCTGACTCCCAGTTTCCTGTTCTTGGAAGTTGAGTTCCAACTTCAGGAAGGGGGCGGGGTCAGGGTGGGAGGGGCCACGAGAGGAGGCTTCGCTTGTCCCCGCCCCCTGAGCCCTCACATGTGGGAGAAGAGGAGCAGGAAAGGGGCGGGGCTAGAACCCGGGGCCTGTAAAAGCCATGGGCTTGAGGGGGAGGAGCCAAGGCAGAGCCCCGCTCTCCTAGAGGGCGGGGACGATTTGGGAAGTGGGCGTGGTCAGGAAGATGTTCGTTTCCAGTTAATAGGCGGTTGCTGGAAGCGGGGGCGGGACTTTGAGGGAGTGAGTGAGAGCCGGGACCGGGAGCGAAGTTAAAGAGGGGGATTCTGCGCACGCGCAGCTGAGGCGAGGTGAATCTGGTGTAGGCGCGCGTGTGGACGTGTCCGGCGACGTTGTAGAAGCAGACCTCAGTCGGAGAAAGGCAGAAGCCGGTAAAAAAACAAAGTTGGGATCATGTGGACGGGTGTGATTGTGATGGTTGTAACTGGGGGAATGAGTTTGAGATCAGAAAAGGGTTGGGAGAAGGGATGGATTTATGTATAACTTTCTCGTCTTTTATATGTTCTCCACAGTTACTCAGAGGACTAATATTACTACTACTACATTGTCAGTAACTTTCATAGGTGCGTCTATACTGTGGACTTAATGCAGTTCGATACCACTTGGAACTGCCCTGGCTCAATGATACGCACTCATGGAAATGGTAGTTTTATGAGGTTGTTAGCTCTCTTTGCCTTATCAAACTATAACTCCCAGCATCCCATAGCATTGAGCCAAGGCGGTTCCAGGTGGTGTCAAACTGCGTTAATTCTACAGTATGGATGCACCCCTTGCCTCACATTCTCAGTTATAGTTTGCCAGGCATCGTATTCGAAAAGGACAGCCATACATTTGTGCTAACTAGCAATGTAAGTTCCCTTAGGCAGGAAGCAGCCAGGCTTTGAAGCTGCAAGGCTAATAATAATAATAATAATAATAAACTACAAGAAAGGAGATTCCATCTGAACATGAGGAAGAACTTCCTGACTGTGAGAGCCGTTCAGCAGTGGAACTCTCTGCCCCGGAGTGCGGTGGAGGCTCCTTCTTTGGAAGCTTTTAAACAGAGGCTGGATGGCCATCTGTCAGGGGTGATTTGAATGCAATATTCCTGCTTCTTGGCAGGAGGTTGGACTGGATGGCCCATGAGGTCTCTTCCAACTCTTTGATTCTATGATTCTATTTATACCTCGCCACCATCTCCCCAAAGGGGACTCGGGGCGGCTTACATGAGGCCAGGCCCAAACAACAAATTACAGCAGAATAAAAAACCAAAAACGCAAACAATAAACAACAACATCATGATTACATAAAACATATTAAGTGCTAATCAAGACAACAAATTGAAACAGTCACACCTACCTCACATAAACAATAGTTTTTGTCCTACCCTGGACATCCCACAGATATATAAACCCCACTTGCCTAGTTTCCAACTGACCCCCTCAAACTCTGAGGATGCCTGCCATAGATGTGGGCAAAACATCAGGAGAGAGTGCTTCTGGAACATGTCCATACGGCTCGGAAAACTCACAGCAACCCTATCTATGTATTTATATGTGTTGGTTTGTACCACAAAGGCTCTCACGTGGTTTGGTGGATCTAGACCAAACCTGGCGCACATACCCTTCATTCCCTGACTTAAAACAATGGAGGGATTTCAACTGAAAACATGGCCTCTTTGGAGGACAGGACCCCCAAAAGTGAAAAAATGATGGATGCAGTGTTTAAATATGACCACAAGAGGGCAGTGTATAGATAGCAAGGCTCCAGAAGGAGAAACCATCAAGGAAAATGTGCTAGAGCGTCACCAGAGAGGCCCTGAGAAGGCCAGGCCATTGCCAAGGAGACACTGTGAGGAAGGAGGCCTTTTCAGAAGGCCAGGAAAACATGGCAGCGAAAGGAGGAAGGAGGCGCTGCAAAGCGGCAACATGGGAGGAGAGCGGTGCATGACACCAATTACATCTCACTGTGCATTATATCCAGAGCCCTATTTACACCTCAGTTCCCAAAATCCTCAGCCACAACAGGGCAGTGTGGATTCTGGGAGTTTTAATCCAAAGGAGGAACTCTCCAGTACATAGTTCTGCACATAGTTGTCGCAATTTAAGAAGAAATGACACTGTAGTGTTCACTCTCACCTATCCAGATGGATAGGTGAGAGTCGCTTAGGCTGTCGAATTGTTTGGATTGGTCTTCAGTGATCATGGCTTTAAATATGGTTGACGGACTGACAGCCGGAAAGGGGACGTGTCCTAAGAAGAAAATGACACTGTAGTGTTCACTCTCAAGCGATGGATGTTGCTTAGGCTGTCAATTGTTTGGATTGGTCCTCAGTGTTCATGGCTTTAGATATGGTTGACAGACTGACAACCGGAAAGGGGACATGCCCTCCTTATTAATGGCTGTGTAGAATAATAATAATAATAATAACAATAACGCTTAGGAAATATTCAACTTGTGATTTTGTGATACGAAATCCAGCATATAGATCTCGTTTGCTGTGACATACTGTGTTTTTGTGTCAGTAAAATAATAATAATATAAACCTGCAAAGGTAGTAGAAAATGGACACGCAAAAATACTATGGGACTTTCGAAGCCAGACTAATAAAATTTTGGAACACAATATGCCAGACTTCACAATTGTGGAAAAGAAAAAGGTCTGGATTATTGATGTCGCCATACCGGGTGACAGTCGCATTGACGAAAAGCAACAGGAAAAACTCAGCCGCTATCAAGACCTCAAAATCGAACTGCTCTGGCATAAAGCAGTGCAGGTGGTCCCAGTGGTCATTGGCGCATTTGGAAATAATAAACATTGACAAAATCACAATCTGTCAACTGCAAAAGACCACCTTACTTGGATCTGCGCGCATCATTCGAAAATACATCACACAGTCCTAGACGCTTGGGAAGTGTTCGACTTGTGATTTTTTGATACGAAATCCAGCATAGAGATCTCATTTGCTGTGACATACTGTGTTTTTGTGTCAGTAAATAATAATAATAGTTTATTTTTATCCCACCCTCTCTCCTCAAAGGGACTCAGGGTGGCTTCCAACCATAAAACATAAAAGGAGAGGACATGTCTGCAGGAGTTGCCTGTTACTTGGTTGTGTAATAAGGCCTATCTGTTGAAATCCCTTCCTAGTTTATGCAACTATTAAAGGTGCAGAAGTCCTCTCCTGTGCAAGGAAGTGGGGGCTTCTCTTCCCATCTCTTTGTAGTTCCCATGTTCTAGTGAGCTTTGTTACAGATGACTGATTGCCCTGAAATTTGTGTCTGTGGATCCATGCCCAGAACTGTATGTCTAAGAGTGGATCTACACTATAGAGTTAATGCAGTTTTACCACTTGAACCGCCATGGCTCAATGCTGTAGTTCTATAATATTTTTTCCTTCTCTACCAAAGAGGGCTGGTGCCTCACCAAACTACAAATCACATGACACTGAATCATTGAGTTGTAGAAGTTAAGGTGGTCTCAAACTGCATTAATTCTACAGTGTAGATAGATGGTTCTCAACCTGTGGGTTCCCAGATGTTTTGGCCTACAACTCCCAGAAATCTCAGCCACTTGGATTTCTGGGAGTTGAAGCCCAAAACATCTGGGGATCCACAGGTTGAGAACCACTGTTGTAGATGCACATCATATAATCAACTTGGCATTCAATGTAGTGCCTGGCACAATGTTTCTCAAACTCAGCTCCTCCAGGTGTTTTAGACTGTAGCTCGCAGAAATCCCAGCCATCTTACCAACTGTTAGGAATAGTAAGAGTGAAGTCCAAAACATCTGGAGGAGCACAGTTTGAGAAACTTTGGCCTAGAGGATTGTGGGAAATCAAATTGATAACCAGACTTGGGAATTATTGGGAATGAAAATGGTATCTAACTTTGGTTGCTTAGCATGGTAAATAAATAAATAATGCTTCCATCGCTGATAAACCAGATTGGGGCCATTGAAAAAAGAGGGAACTCACTATATGTCTCTTTGAAAATTAAAAAAAAAACACTTCAAACTTGGAGGCAGCAATGGTACAGATGCCTAAATATGAGTACTCTTTTCAGAGCATTTCCTTGAATAAATACCCCTCAAATCAATTGTACAACCAGACCTCACCATCTACTGCAGTAAGGGAAATAGAAAACTTACAAAAGTGAAAAAACTGAAAATAAAAAAATGCTTTTTTTAAAAAAAATCTAGAAATCTCTGTGTACTCCAAAATATGGAGATAGAATCTCAGTGGTCCTCTCTAGAAATTCATAGAGAGGTAGTATATGTATGAATCTCTATATCTTCCAGTATGACTATGCTCAGTTTCTATGGACATTGACCATAGAATTGCTCTGGAGGTCCTAGAGATTCCTAAAGGGACTGTATTACTGAGATCCATTTATAATCAGATCTACAAAAATCAAACTTGCAAAGGACTGACTGTTTATTTTCCATTTCCGCAATTTGCTATTATTTGATTTTATGTGGCATTGACATGATGTATTATATATGTTGGATATTAAAGCTATTAAACAGTTTCTTTTTAAAAAAGAAGAACCTCAATGCTAAGGTCTTGTTTTTGTGACTGAAGGGGAAATGTTCCTCTGGCCTTCCAGACAGGGAGCATAGGCCACAGATCTGGCTGGGATCACGTGCGGTGATCCTGTCCTTGTGAACTGCCTTGTTCTGTAGTGTGTAAACAAGACTTTTTCAGAGCAGCTCTGTACAGCAGCCTAATTACACGCGGGACCAGGATTGAATTAAAACCAGAGATTACTTGCATAATATGTACACATTAGCAAGTCTTTGTTATTTTCCTCACCCTGTTGAAAGTAAGGCTTGTTGGAAATGGGTTTGCTGGGAGAAGGCAGGTTTGTGTGTGATCTGAATGGAAATGTACAGAGAACTGCTGGGAATGTCAGGCTGCGCGTGGCTGCTTTTTCACCGTGGCAGCTTGAATCGTGCACCTAGCCTGGTTCTCTGCCAGTATCACTGACAGCAGACAGCTGTAAGGGTCCCTGTGGCACATACTGTACTAGTTATCTGATCTTCTGTTAGTAGTTACACACGACTAAATATGATTTGTGGATTTGGACAGGGCTTAAGTTCTGAAATGAGGAGTCAAAGCATAAACGTGCCAAAATACTATACTAAAACAAAGAATGCCCTTTAAATTGAGGATTTTATTGATGGCTATAGTTTTCTTATTCCTATTATTAACAATAATATTAAAATTAAATACTAAGGGTTTCTAGCTATACTCAAAATAGTACATTGTGTGAGTCATATTTTATTCATGTTCACATTTTTATTTTACTTTCCCTCCAAGAAACTCATGGTGGTACCTGCTTAAAACTGCATCCTTAATTTGTATAAGAAAGCTAAATTAAAATGAAATGAT